CCCCTGGGGGCTGATTTCTCACTTTCCCTCCCTCTCTCTCTGCCTTTCTCCTAGGACAAAAACTGAAAATTAGCAAATAAATAATAAACTTAAAAAAAAAACTATGGGCTTGGAAAGAGTGGAGAGTGCCGCCACAAAGGCCAGCAATGTCAGGGAGGGAGCGGCGGACAGCCCACGCCAGGGGGGCGCGGAGAGAGAGCGGGGAAGGGTTCAGTTCAGGAGGGAGGACCGGCTTGATGACCTTGGCCCAAGGGTTTCTGCTGGGATTCAGGGGGTGGAGGGAGAGTGAGGGTGATGGCTGGAGGGGGAGCAGAAGGTGAGGAGGAGGAGCAGGGACAGCATACTGATCTTTGAATAGCAGAAGTGTGAAAAGGAGAGTTGTAGGAAGGTGCCTAAAAAAAAGGAATTTTCCACTTTTTAAAAGAAAACATTTGAATTTTTGTGATTACAAAAAATTACATAATCTTTCCACAAAAAAAAAAAAAAAAGAAAAGAAAAAAAGAAAAGCATAGAAAAGCTCAAAGCATAGAGTTCTTCTGTAAGCCCAGCTGACAGAGGTAAGAGGTGTTCATCCTTAGGTAATGGTCCTTTAACTCATCCAGGTATAGGGGAGAGTCTTCAAAAAGTTAGTGGAAAATACAACTGGGGGGGCGTTTCGTGTTTTTTTTTATTTTATTTTCTAAGAGTTTTTCTTTTAGGGCACACGCGCTCACCCGAAAGAGAGACAGATAAACAGAAAGAGAAACAGAGAGACAAAAAGCAAACAATCATCCCCCTAGGGGATCCCTTCTCCTCATCTCTTCTTGGGATCTTGTGCATACATACACACACACACACACACACGGGTATGTTTGAAGCTGCTGGGTCTGATACTCAAACTGAGGTCAACCATGTGGGAGTCCAGTGATGTAGCCATTATGCCATCTGCTGGTCCCAAAATCATGTTATTCCAAGATTTTAAAAAAATAATTATTTTATCTAACTTTATTTATTTATTTGACCAAAAAAGGACAGAATGAGACAGACAGAGAGAGAGAAAGTAAGAAAGCAAGCCACGAGGTCCGGGATGGAAACTGTGGTTGGCCATGTGGGAGTCTAGAATCCTTAACCACGATGTCACCTGCCAATTCCAAGATTTTTTTTTTTTTTTGAGAGTTTTTTTGCTATAGGGCACGTGCTCTCGCCAGAAAGAGAGAGACAGAGAGATAGAAAGTGAGAAATCACCCCCCAGGGGGGATGGCCATACCACAATCCCTTCTCCATTCTCCTCTTGGGATCTTGGGCATGCATGCACATTCGCCTGGCGTGAGTTTAAGCCACCGGGTCCGGGACTCAAACCGCAGTCAACTACATGGGAGTCCAGTGACATAGTCATTACGCCAACTGCTTGCCCCCCAAGATTTTTTTAAACAATTATTTTATTTAACTTTATTTATTTACTTACTTATTTTAATTTGACCAGAGAGGGACAGAGAGAGAGAAAGTGAGAAAGCCAGCCACCAGGTCTGGGACTCGAACAGTGGTTAACCATGTGGGAGTCCAGTGCCCTTAACCAC